TTCGGATTGGAATATGTGCTCTTCTTTGGGTTATATGGAACTGTAGGAATGATATGATTTTTAATAGACAACACACTTTAACTTTCTTGCAGGTCATCTTCAAAGCTACCGCATGGATCCGTGCGTGATCCTTACTCACTCCTATCGACTCCATGGAGCCTTTGGTTACTGGGTGCAACCAATGAAAGATGGTAGCACGAGCTATATTCACCGGTTCGGATGGCGGTTGCATAACAGGATACGAGTCTAGGGAGCTTATCCTTTACATTGCTTTACTGGTTGCGATTTTGAGCATGTACTTTTCATTTCTTTGTTTCGCCCCGCTTGCGAACTGTAACACTTTTATGACTTTATGCTACTTCGAGGATTTTTAATAAGATGGTTGCATGCATCATTATGATGCAGAGGCCGGAGGTACGCCTCCATTTCCAAAAAAATTAGGCTATATGCCTAGCAGCGACCACCAGCCGGTAAAAACTATGGCGCCAAGTGGCAGTCGTAGTATGGCAGTGCCAACATCACGATGCTCGGAATATTGTGTAAATAGGAACAAAAAAAATTCATCATCAAGGGATCAATCCAGACTGGACAAGGGATGAGGCACGTGATAGTGCGTGGTTGGGGGAGACCTCGTTGTGGCCTCGATATGGAGGTGGGAGGGAGATGGGGTGCGACGGAGGTGCATGGTCGACGACGATCTCATCATGGCCTCGATCCGCACTAGGGAAGGAGGACACTCGTGATATATGGTTGGTGGGAGATGATGGCGTCATCGCGGCCTTGATTTAGACCGGGGCGAGGTGCACGACAGAGGTGCATGGTCAACGACAACCTCATTATGGCGTCAATCCGGAATGGGGGAGGAGGGAGCGTCGGGGCACAGAGGCGTGAGGCGGTGGGAGAGATGTATCAACGATGCTTTGGGGAGGGGCCATGGCGGTGGGACCTTACCAGCTCATGGTCATCCATTGTTAGGATCTCCCGTCCGTCATCGGGCCGAACGATGTACTCCCTCCATTCTGAATTACTTGTCGCGGGTATGGATGTATCTAAATGTATTTTAGTTCTAGATATATCCATTTCTCCGACGAGTAATTTGGAACGGAGGGAGTAACATCTAGTACATGTGTCAAATGGATGTAGTTCATTTATGTGTGTCCTCTTGATGTTTTCATTTACCTTTGCAGTAATTTAGCGATTGGAGTCGCCCGGTACAGAGACGTAGTCGGAGACGTTCAACTCCCTGGGCCACACATGAAGTTGATAGGTAGATTCTGTAAACCGATAGACCCCTGGGTGAACGGTTGTCCATAGAAATTGTTTCCTTTGGTCCGGTCTTTGTGAATTCTATATCTTTCGTTAGCTGATGCATGTATGACGAGAAGTAGAACAATTGACTTGTCTCAGTATGACTCACCATAATTAGATTGCTCGATCAACGCAAGGTGACATTGCACATGTGAGCGCCGTCGTCCACAGTCACAGGGTGCTACTAACCTCCACTATTTCTCCTTAGTTCGTTTCTTTGCTTAGTTTAGTATTTATTTTCCGTTCAGTTTACTACATAGTTAGACTCCCTTTTTATTGTTCCTCCTAGCAATTGATCAGAGTTATCTATTTCCAATTTGGGTGTGGGCGTAGTTACGTCTGTGATAGCATAGCAGCATGATTGGTAGTGAATTATGGGTTCGACAATTAAACATGCAAATACTTCAAGTGAATTATGCTTGAAAAAAACTCTGTGCACTTGCAGACATTAGGGATACCTTTGGCTCCACGGATTGATATCTTCATTTATCACTGAGGGAAATCTTGCTTCTTACTAAAAAACCTGATGTTGGGAGCCCAACTAGTTGTTAAGACCTCTTCCAACACAAAGGTGCTTACATGAGGTGCTAAGTGCATTAAATACCTTAGCAACTCATCTTCCCAATGCATAGGTGCTTAACTTATTGTTGCTAAGCACACTTTATTTAATGAGTTAGCACCTAAAGTGTTTCATGCATTAGTCAAGTTGTTTCATTTAAATGGTTTTCCTAGGTTCTCGTGCTTGGCATTGATTCTTTCTGAGGTCACCAAAGTGCTATCTCCCCTCATTAAATGATGTGCCATGTCATTTTTTTGCTTATGTGACATGCTTAGCACCTATCCACGATGGAGCACTGGGAAGGGCCTAAGCTATATACCTAGCAGCGATCACCAACCGACGAAACGACAATGCCACGTGGCAGTCGTAGTATGCCGAATGCCAAAATCACGATCCTTGGCATAGTGTATGCCGAGTACCAAAAACCAGGTGCTTGGCATACTGCATGAACAGAAACAAAAAAAGGTCGTAGTTGACCCTATCATGGTTGGTGGTAGACAATGGCATCACCGTGGCCTTGATTCAGACCAAGGGGGAGGCATACAACAGAGGTGCATTGTCGACGGCGGTCTTACTATGGCATCGATCTACAACGGTGGGGGAGGAGGCGCATGGCGGTGGGAGAGAGGG